GTTGATTCCTGTGTCAGTCAGCATCAATAGCTCCACTTCCTAGGCAGCCATTGGCTCCCCACAGCACCCAGGTTTGGTTCTGATTGGTTGGTTCCTATGCCAATCAGCCTCAAAAGCTCTGCCTGCTAGGCAGGCATTGGCCCCCATAGCACCCGGATTTGGTTCTGATTGGTTGGTTTTTATGCCTGTCAGCATCAAAGCTCCACCTCCTAGGTAGCAATTGGCTCTTCATAGCACCCAGCTTTGGTTCTGATTGGTAGGTTTCTATGCTAGTCAGTGTCAATAGCTCCTCCTCCTAGGCAGCCATTGGTTCTTCCCAACAACCACATTTGGTTCTGATTTGTTGGTTCCTGTGCCAGTCAGCATCTATCACTCCACCTCCTAGGCAGCCATTGGCCCCCACAGCACCCAGATTTGGCTCAGATTGGTCAGTTCCTATGCCTGTCAGCATCTCTGGGCCTATCTCCGAGCTTGATCTGAGAGCTGGGTTGAGTCCCCATGGAGGCCCAAAGGCTGGCAACAACCCCCCCGCCCCCCCCCCGTCCCCCGGCGAAAAGAAAGGAGAGGAAGAGAGTGGCAAGTACTGATCAATAGCTGAGACTAGGCTGCGGATCAGACCTTGCGTCTCTCTCTGGGTCTCAGCCCCCTGGGCAGTCAGTGCGGGGTCCCAGGCTGCAGCGGGGCAGTCAGTGCTGGGTCACTATGTCCACCCAGCTCTGCCTGAAGGACTTCCAGGTTGGTCAGCCTTCAGTCGTGATCATCGCAACCCTGGGTTTTTATATATTAGGATTCAGATTTTTTATTTCATCTTGAATCAGTTTTGGTAGATTTTGTATTTCTAAGAATCTATCCCTTTTACCTAGGTTATCTAATTTGTCGGCATTGAACTTTTAATAATATTCTCTTATAATCCTTTTTTATTTTTTAAAATTAGTAATAATGTCCTCATTTTCATTTCTGATTTTGGTAATTTGAGTTGTCTCTCTCCCCTCCCCTTCTTTCTTGCTATCCCCCTCCCTCCCTGCCTCTGTCCCTCTCTTTATTAGATAATACCAGTTTCCAAAGCAGTCGTTATGATCTCATCTTCACAAGTCAAATGTGAGAATTTCTGTTGCTTTCTATTATAGCAGTCTTAAATTCTAGCTGTTCTATAATGAGATCCCCATGTGATTTTAATTGCATTTTCTTGATGGGTAGTATGGTTGAGCACTCTTTCATGTTTATTGTTTGCTTATTGTTTTATGTGAAGCATTGTTTCGTATCTTTTTATTTTCGATTTATAGGAATTCTTTATTTACTCTGGAAATGAGCCCTTTGTCAATTATATTTTTGCAAAATATTTTTTCTCACCCTGTGCATTACCTTTTTGTTCACTGAACTGGTGCCTTTTGTAAAATATCTTAATTTAAATGTAATCTAGCAATAATACTTAATTTAATAATACTTTTCTTTATATTTAGTTTTTTTTATGTTAAAAATCTTTACTTACCATAACATAGATAAATATTCTCTTACCTTTCACTTATACATTTACATTCTACCTGGCTGTAGTCCCTTCTTGCACTAACAACACTTTCTAAATTACTCTATATAACATGTCTTCATATCTGGTAGAGTAATATATATTTTTAATTTTTATTTTTTTGTTAATTCTTGCCTGAGGATATTTTTTCTATTGATTTTTTTAGAGAGAGTGGAAGGGAGGGAAGGAGGTGGAGGGGGGAGAGAGAGAGAGAGAGAGAGAGAGAAAGAGAGAGAGAGGGAGAGAACATTGATTGGTTGGCTCCTATATACTCCCCAACTAGGACCGATGATCAGCCCTGTAACCCAGGTCCGTGCCCTTGACCAGGAATCAAACCTGCCACTCTTCGGTGTGTAGATCAACACTCTCACCACTGAGCAACACCAGACAGTGCCAGAGTAACTCTATTTTGTTCTTCTTCTTGAAGATTGAGCATAGGCTAATGCACCCCTAGATATATACCCAACATAAATGCACAAAAAGGCACTTATGAGAAAGCCTCAATTTCCTTCACAAACTCATATGCAAAAGTTATAATGAAAATATTAGCAAGAGGGGTGGGAGGCGGTAGAACAGGGTAAAGAGAGGACAAATAGTGATGGAAGGAGACTTGACTTGGGGTGGTGAACACACAATACAATATACGGATGATGTATTATAGAAGTGTACACCTGAAACTTATGTACTTTTATTAACCGATGTTACCCCAATAAAGTAAATGATGAATAAATAAATAGATAATAAAGTAATAAAAAGAGAAAAATATTATCATGCACCCAAAAATATATACAAGTGCCAGTAGGCATAGAAAAAGGTGCTCAACATCACTAACCTTCAGGCAAATGCAAATCAAAACCACAGTGAGATATCACTTCACACCTGCTAGGATGGCTATTATAAAAAACAACAACAGCCAGGCCTGCAGGCTTGGCTCAGTGGATGAGTATTGGTGTAAGAACCAGGAAATCACAGTTCGATTCCTGGTCAGGGCACATGCCTGGGTTGCAGGCTCGATCCCCATTTGGGGCATGCAGGAGGCAGCCAATCAATGATTCTCTCTCATCATTGATGTTTCTATCTCTTTCTCCCTCTCCCTTTCCCTGAAATATATATATTTTAAACACAAAGGATAACAGGTATTGTTGAGGATGTGGAGAGGTTAAAACTCTTGTGCACTCTTGGTGGGAATGCAAAATGATGCAGCTACAATGGAAAACAGTATGTATATTCCTCCAACCTTACCATCAATCAATCCTTCTTCTGGGTATAAACTCAAAAAATTGAAACCAAGATCTTGATGAGATATCTATACTTCCATGTTCACTGAAGCATTATTTACAAAAGCAAAGACATGGTAACAACCTACATGCCCATCAAGAAATGAGTGAACAAACAAAATGTGGTCCATCCAGACAATGGAATATCACTCAGCAATAAAAAGGAAGGAGCCCTAACTCCCCTATTGGCCCTACTCTGTGAGTGACAGGAGGGAGCTCCTCAACCCCCTGATGGGCCCTGCTCTGAGCGTGACAGGGGGGGAGCTCCCCAACCCCCTGATGGGCCCTGCTCTGTGCGTGACAGGGGGGAGCTCCCCAACCCCCTGATGGGCCCTGCTCTGTGCATGACGGGGCGGCACCCCAACTCCCCAAACAGCCCTGCTCCGAGCCCGACCAGGGGCTGCACCTAGGGATTGGGCCTGCCCTCTGTCACCCGCAAGCAGGCCTAAGCCAGCAGGTTGTTATCTCCCGAGGGGTCCCAGACTGTGAGAGGGCACAGGCCGGGCTGAGGGACCCCCCCTTCACCCCCGAGTGCACAAATTTTTGTGCACCAGGCCTCTAGTATATATATAATTTCAGAGAAGAAGGGATAGGGAAAAATAGAAACATCAGTGATGAGAGAGAATCATTAGTCAGCTGCCTCCCGCATGCCCCCTACTGGGAATTGAGCTGCATGTGCCCTTACTGGAATCAAGCTGTGACTTCCTGGTTTGAAGGTCAATGCCCAAGCACTGAGCCACACTGGCTGGGCTAAGGTCAACTGACAATAGATGTGAATCCGTTTTTAAAATACCTTCCTTGCTACATTTAGCTGGTGTTTCACCAAACGGCTGGTCTCCGTGGCCTGGCTAAGTTCACACAGGACATGCACCACCCTCATGTAAAAGACCTTTACTGGTGGCCCCATCACAGCCAGGCCTGCTCACGTTGCCCTGCTCTCCTTTCCTCGCTGCCTGAAATCAACTCTCTGCTGTCTTCAGAATGTTCACAGCCTAGAACCATAGGTGCTCAAGCAGCAGTCAACCCCAGGTGTTAAAGAAATGAGGACAACGGACCCAGGGCCAGAGAAAGGGGAAACAGGCAAGAAAAGAAATGAGAAGACGGACATCGGGGGAGGAGGCAGCAGGCAGATGTCAGCTGGGACACCTAGTGAGTGATAAGGGTCCTTGTGTCTCCTCTCCATGGAAGTCTGTGGCAAGTGGGGGCTGGAGGAAGCAGGGGTGGGCTGTGAATGTGTTCCCCCACCATCCTGGAAGTGGGAGGTGGGGGTTTATAGAGTCAAGTGGCTCTGCTGGGGTGACTTCCAGGCTGTAGGGTTTTTTCCATGACAACGGGATCCAGAACCCTGTGCTTGGGTTCCACCCTCAATGGTCTTTAAGGATCTAGATACTAGATGAGGCCTTTGGAGTCCCAGTTTCACTTTGCAACCAGTAGTTCCACTCAAGCTGGTGGCTGTCATCCCCACCCCACCACCCCACTCAGTTCTGGTGATGCTGTGACTGCAACAGCCCCAGCACTGTCTCCTCAACTGCTGACCCATGCCTTCACCTCACTCACTCAGGCTCCCCCACCAGAAATATCACCCTGCCTGCCCCTTTCCGCCCCTTCCTGGGCAGAGCCTCCCCACTGGCTCCTTCAGAAGCATGGAGGAGCCTGCTCAGGCCCATCTAGAAAGAGGTAACTGGGAGGTGAGCCTAGAGGACAAAAGGGAATGCAGGTGAGAATGCCATTGGAGATAGTGAGCTGTGAATGAGGAGTATGAGAACAGGTGCGGATGCAGGTGAAAATATAAGTAAAGATACGGGTAAGTTTACGGACAGACATGTGGGTGGGGGCCAGGTGAGGATGCAAAAAAATGCAGGTGGATGTAGTTGAGGATGCAGGTAAGAAAGGAGGTAAAGATTCTCATGAGAATGCGGGAAAAATTCAGGTGAGGATGCTAGAGAAGGCAAGTAAGCAAGTAGGTGAGAACTCATGTGAGGGGGCGGTGAGCTTCAGGTGAGGATGGTGAGGGCATAAGTGCACAGGCGAGAATGCAAATGAGATTCTTGGGGATTTCTAGTAAGAACTGAGCTGAGATGCAGGTGAGGCAGCTAGGGAACAGAGCTGTTGCTTTCCATCTCACAAACACCTCCAGACTTTGGTTGATCACATGGAATACAACTGAAGCTTTATTGGGGGGGGGCGCCCCGGCGGGGGGCTCAGTTGGGACAGCCGAAGATGATCATGTTCTCTCTGAAGCTGGCCAGGTCCCTGCACAGCTTCTTGTTCTCATCGTCTTGGCATTCGTCCGCTTCAGGCCACAGCTCTACCCAGGTGTCCTTCCTGATGATATACTTGATGCTGGGGAAGAGGGACACACGGCAGGTCAGGAGAGGCCCTGGAAGGGTGGATGGGGCAAGCACACACATGTGCAGGCTGGGCACTCACTTGGATTTCTCTCCCCACAGGTCTGAGGAGGGGCCCCATATGAGGTAGTGTTTCCCCTCCTGCAACTTCAGGGCTGCTCTGCAGTTGACATGGCTGATGAACCTGCGCTCCTGTTCAGGCTGCACCTTGTCGGTGCCTGGAGGAGAGAGAACGACGCTGAGCTGGGGTGGAGGAGGCAGGAGAAGGGAGGGGAAGGCAGAAAGACAGACAGCAGCCCAGGGCTGACCTGATTTGATGATCTGCTTGATGACCAATATGTACTCGTCATAATCATCGGACAGCTCCTTCCTGAGCAGGCTGGTCTTGTACACTGCCGGGTGGGGACAGTCGGGGGGTGGGGGGGAAGGACCAGCATGGGTCATAAGCAGGCTTGATAGCAGGGCAGCTTACCTGTAAGGGCACCTGGGTACATGGCTTCCCAAGCAGCCACATGCAGCCACACAGGGTCATACAACCACCATCTCACATAGTCACCCACAGCCATGTGCACAGTTACAGCCGCCCACAACTCATCCCATACACAAGGACAGTTACTCCTGTACACTGTCACCTGCAACCACCATCTCTTACACACAGCCTCATATGGTCACAGTCACTCACAACACCATCTCACACATAGTCACCTACAGCCTTGCACACAATTATAGCCACTCACAACTCATGGTATACATAGGGACAACTATGCCTATCCACTGTCAACATCTCACACCATCATGGCTATTTACAACCACACTCTCACAGACACTCACAACCTCATTTGTTCACACTCTTGCACGAAACCAGCCCAGTCATAGCCATGGTTCCCCATCAAGCATGGCCTCTAATAACACACACACTAGTCACCGACAACCATAGCCTGAAACACATGAACCTGTGGCCACTCACAGTCAGTCACACACACACAACCATGACCACACCTGCCATCACATAGTCTCACCCACACAACCACAGCCACACACACCATCACTCACACACAATCACACTTGCACGTGTGTCTCCCCACCTGTTCCTCACCATAGTCCACTCCAGGCTCACAGGCCTTGTCCTCCCGGTCGTCTGGGGTGACCTGGTCCTCTGAATGTTGCATGAAGCAGTTCTCTGCGGGATGGGTGAGCAGGGGACATGATCTAAGCTCCACTTCTCACCCAGGGCCCGCCACCCATGGGTGTGGTCAGCCCTAGGCCCATCCCTCTTGGTATCCTGTGGGTGTGGGCTTTTGGGGCCCCTTGCATCACTGCCATGGAAGGTGTGTGTGTGAGAGGTATTATGTGTGCGTTGCCTGCCACTTCCTGGCTCCTGTGCACCCACCCTCAGCACAGCGGCATATTTCATTGTGGCAGATTTTGCTCAGCATTCCATCTTCCTTCTCCGGGTGGTAGAACTGGGTACAAGTCTCATCTGTGGGCAGAGGGAGTGGGAGGCATCAGAGAGCTAAGGACTCCACCCAAGACCATGCCTGTGGGCTCAGTTCCCAACTCCAGTCCCTCAGACCTGGGGATGCTAGGTCCTGAACCCTGGGACTCCCAGGTCCCCAATCACCAAGCCCTGGGACCCCCATCTTATAGAACCTTGGTATCCTCAGACCCCAGCCCCGAGGTTGGCTGCTCACCCGGGTTGTAATAGGAGTACACCTTGACTGCCCCCGGCTGGATGAGCCCCACATTAAAGAACTGGTGAACTTTGAAGGATACACAGTCCTCTTGATTGTGTGAAATCTGGGAAAAGCAGGAGGTGAGTCAGTGTGTGGGAGTCCAGCAAAAAGAGAAACAGGCGACCAAGAGGGATCTGCGTGGAGAGGATGGGTGGGTGAGAAGTGACAAAGATTAATGAGCAGGTCAACAAATCTATTTTCTTTTTCTCCAAGGCTCATGGCCAGATTACACTTCTCAGCCTCCGTTTCCATTTGGTGTGACCATGAAATTGAATTCTGGCCAACGGATTGCTATCTGTGCCCCTAAAAACATCCCATGGTTATCAATACTGCACTGCATATTTGAAAGCTGCTAATATAGTAAATCTTAAAAGTTATCACCACACACACACGTTAAAACTATGAGGTTGTACATGTGCTAACTAACCTTACTGTGTTCATCATTTTCCAATATACATATATCCAATCATTGCATTGTATACCTTAAACTTATCCAATGTGATATGCCAATTATATCTCAATAAATCTGGGAAAATAAATGAGAAAGAAAGAAAGGAAGGGAGGACGGAAGACAGACGTGTATGTATATGTGATAGACATGTATACTTGGAGGAAATTGCTAACAATTAATGAATCTGGGTAAAGGGTATATGGAACTTTTTATACTTCTCTACAATATCTCTGTAGGGTTGGGACTCCTTAAAAAATTAAAAGTACAAAAATGAAAATGAAAACAAATTTAAAACCCATCTCATGCACTATCAATCCTCTTTTTTTTCTAGAAGGAATGGATCAAGCAGAGGACTCTAAGACAAAGACCAATAGAGAAGGAAAAGGCCAGCCACATATGGGTCAAGGTCCCAATGGAAGCCTCACCTTGTTCAGGTAGATGATGAGGGTGTTCTTGTTGGAGAAGGCCTTGTTGTCCAGCTCAAACTTTGAGATGTACGTGTCAGTGCCACTGGCCAGCTGGAGAAGGGACGAGCTTGTGAAAATCCCGTCCTTCCCTCAGCCTCTGCCAGGCCCCAGGCTCCTTCCCACCAATCCTAGCCCCTGAGCCCAGGATTTTCACACCTGCTTGAGGTCAGCAATGTCAGGAGCAAAGCCAGTCATCATGGATATATCCAGGATGGACATAGTGGCATCCTGGTCTCCCAGGTACCTGGATGGGGCAGGGAGAGAGGGTTTAAGTCCCAGGTGGGGTTAGGCCAGAGACAACGGGGTTTGATCAGTGAGAGAGGCTTCTGGTTCCCACACAGCAGCATAGAGGATGTCAGATCTTAGGAAACACTCCCCAAGGGGAATAAAGGAAAGGTGTGTAATGGTTAAGGCAACTAACTGCTCAGCCTCTGAAGCCCAACTACATGGGTTCACATCCCAGCTCTATGTCACATTTGATGAGTCACTTCACCTCTTCAAACCTCATTTCTTCTAGAAAATGAAGATAAGAGTGCAGGCAGGTCTCACTTTGCATGATTCCATTATCACGGTCTAGTTCAATAACACCAGTCCCTCAGCAACACGGTCTAATTCCAGTACCACAATATATTAATAAGCAAATGCCTAAAGGACAAATCTAGTTGCCAGCTCTTCAGTCCACCCACCACTATGTAAACAAGTGAGTATTACAATCAATGACCAATCACGTCACTTATTCCAAAGTCTGTCAGTGATGGGTCACCGAGCACCCGTCATTCAAGCCACGTGTGTGGTTGTGTTACTTCCTTCTCTCTCAGTAAAAAAAAAACCATGTGAGATTTCACCAAAATGGATCATTGAAAGGGAATCGCCGCAAAGATGAAAGTGCAGCACAGAAATGAGAGTGGTAACACTGGGAGTGAAATTTCAGCAGCACCTAAATGGAGCCAGAGAACAAACAGCAGATGGTGGAATGTGGACCTGCTGCCCTTGGAGAGACCATCATGGGGGCAGAGGCACTTAGTGAAGGCAGGGCGTCAACATAAATGAAGAAAGTGGTTGTGGCCAAAAATGATGTCCCAGAGGAGGTGACACTGGAAAACATTTCACGGTGAAGGAATGGAACTCTTAAATACCTCGTGACATCGAAAGCACAGAGGATTACCTGTGGGAAGTTGACCTAAACTTAGAAGGAACACGACACTTCACAGCATCATAGAACAAATGCTTGCTCCATATCATAAGTGCTACAGCAGCGGTTCTCAACCTGTGGGTCGCGACCCCTTTGGGGGTCGAACGACCCTTTCACAGGGGTTGCCTAAGACCATTAGAAAACACATATATAATTACCTATTGTTTTTGTGATTAATCACTGTGCTTCAATTATGTTCAATCTATAACAATAAAATACATCCTGCATATCAGATATTTACATTACAATTCATAACAGTAGCAAAATTACAGTTATGAAGTAGTAACGAAAATAATTTTATGGTTGGGGGTCAACACAGCATGAGGACTGTATTAAAGGGTGGTGGCATTAGGAAGGTTGAGAACCACTGTGCTACAGAGAAGAATAGAGGTACTATTCAAACCACAGGGCTTTGGATGAGTGCTTCACAAAAAATCAAAACCATCTTCAATCTCAATGTCCTGACACGTTACTTTTTAATTGATTTCAGAGAGGAAGGGAGAGATATAGATTGATAGAAATATCAACAAAGGGTGTGAATAATTGATTGGTTGCCTCCTGCACGCTCCCTACTGGGGGAATTGAGCCTGCAATCAGGGCATGTGCCTTTGGTCTGAATCAAAGCTGGGACCCTTTAGTCAGCAGGCCAAAGGTCTATCCACTGTGCCAAACCAGCTAGGCTACAATGTTCTGATGTTTTAAATTACAGTGTACTAAAAAAAATACCCATCTTAACTATACTTTTCATTACTCTATACTTTTATAACTGGAAATATGAGAGTTTTCAATGTTGTGATAAAAAAAATTAATGCAAGCTCGGCCCGTGTGGCTCAACCAGGAGGTTACGGTTTGATTCCTGGTCAGGGCACATGAGGGCTCTATCCCCAGTAGGGGGAGTACAGAGGGCAGCCAATGAATGATTCTCATCATTGATGTTTCTATGTTTCCCCATCTCCATTCCTCTCTGAAAGAAATAAAAATTTAAAAATAAGAATAATGGAAAATTCCTGTAACAGCTGTAATCCTCCTTGTTGATTATCAACATCACTTTTCACAGTCTCAGCTTATGTGGTCACGGGTAGTCTCACACCACCATGCTGTGCTGTCTACTTTCTGGAGAGTGCTCAGCACAGTACTAAGCACACAACACATCCCCAGAGGCTAGTAGGTACCTCGGATATTATTTACAGGAAGTCTTGCTAGAGACAGAGGGAGGAGCGAGATGAACCCCAGTGACCCATCTCTTACCTGGTACAGATGTTGAGTAACATGGTGCTCTTGGCGTCCTGAGGCTTCTTCACTAGAAACATAGAGGACAGAAGGATGGAGGGCTGGGTCCTGATTCAGGAGCAGGGCAGACACTAGAATGGCAGTGGGGGAAGGGTGACAGATAGGGTCTTTATTCCTTCTACCTTCAGGGGCTGGTCGCAGGATAACCTTGAGACTGAACTTATTGCAAGAGGTTCCGCCTTTGATCTTGGCCTGGTACATTGTCACCACCTGGAGAGTTGAGAGGGGAGATGAGGTGTCAGCAAACTTGACTTGGGAAGGTGATGAGCAAAGCAGATGTGGGCTCCCATCCTTACCGACAAGGTGCCTTGTCCTTTCCCTTTAGCTGTTAATGTGAAGTTCTCATTTTCCATGGTCTGCAGGGAGTGGGGAGAGAAGAGAAGGTGTTGGGAACCAAGCCTTCCCCTGGCTGCAATGGTCACCTGCCCTCTCTCCTGCCTCCTGCAGACTCTGACTGGCTGGAGGATGAGAGCGAGGAGGGTTTGGCCAAGCAGCTGTACCGTTTCTGATCGCAGGAGGCTAGCGGATTCCCAGAGGATGCGGTGCGTGACCGAAGAGCTGCGGCTGGGCAGTTTAATGGACACCTCCAGATTCAGATCCTCATGGTCAGGGACATCCCTCTGGTATTGGGCCAAGGCTTGGAACACCATGAAAGTGGCCTAGAACCCATGAGAGAAGAAGAGGGTGATGTGAGAGACTGAGAAAGCAGTCAGAACCTGCTGGGGGATGAAAAGTTTCAGCTTAGAGCTGGGCCATTGAGACTGTAGCCTAATATGCACCAGAGGGGGTGAGAATAAGAATGGGGGGTGTTATATACTGAGGACATGTTCTAGAACTCTCTCAGTGAGAGAGGCTCAGTCTAGTGCTTGGTGACACTAAGACTGTGACCTAGAAGGGACCAGAGGGCACAAGGGTAAGATGGGGAGTCATTAAACACTGAGGACATCTCCTAGAATTCTCCAAGGGACAGAGGCTTACACCAGAGTGTGGAGACACTGAGCATGTCTAGATACATGAGAAAGAGCAGGCATAAGACTGAAGGTCTAATATGCCTAGCCCATGGCCAGTTGCAATAAGGTAGTGAAGACTTGGGGGTGGGTGGGTAGGGGCTGGGAGGAGAAGGGAAATGGGGGGGTGCAGATATGTGTAATACTATCAACAATAAAAATATATTTTAAAGTAAATACAATAAAAAATTGCCAACAGCTGCTACAAAACAACAACAACAAAACCAAAATGACTGAAGGTCTAGTACACCGAGAATGTGGTCTAGACCCATCCAGAGAAGAGAGACTAACACAGGGTTCACAGACACCGAGAATGTATCTAGAGCCCATTTGTGAACAAATAATAAAATTGGAACCTGGGGACAACTAAGCATATAATGTAGAATCCAAAAATCACACTGAGTCCTGGCCCAGTGGCTCAGTTGGTTGGATCATTCGCTCATGCATCAAAAGGTTGCAGATTCCATCCCCAGTCAAGACACATACGGGAAGTAATCCATTGATGTTTCTCACATCAATGTGTGTGTTTTTTCTCTCTCACTCCCTCTCTCTCTCAAATCAAGAAACATATCCTTGGATGAGTATTTCTTAAATACCTGACAATGCCACCAGAGAGAAAGGGGATCAAACTTAAGCCTGAGCTTTTTAGACTTGAGGTTGCTGCAACCATGGTCTAGAACCCAGCTGAAAGAGAGCAGGCTTTGATAAGACTCTAGAAAACTGAGACCATGGTCTAGAATCCACAGTAAGACAAGGTAACTCTGGGAGCCTCGTGGAACTGAGTGCATGGTCTAGAATCACCCAGAGGGAGAGATGGAGTTGATGATTCCCTATAATAATTGAGAATTGGTCTAGAACCCACCAGTGAAACAAAGTAAGATGGAACGCCTGGTGGACCTAGAAACATGGTCTAGAACCCATCAGAGAGAGGTTCACCCCTGAACCTGGGCCTTGAGAACATGATCTGGACACCAGGAGGGAAAGGGAGTCTCAAAATGCAGCTTGAGGCATCCAGAATTTAGTGTAGAATCCATAGACAGATTTGCAACAAAAACCAAAACCTGATATTTCAACTTCATTCCAATCAACTGCCTCTCTTGGTCTCAGCATCTTATTTGGGAGGCCATTCAGGCCAGAGGAAGTAAGGATGCATTTGCCTGGGGGATGTGGGACCACTTGCCTGGGTGGAGCCATAGCCACCTCCGTAGTATCTCTGCTCGTTGAGCCAGCGCACAACAGGAGGTATAGAGTCAAAGTCTTTGAGCAGCAGCAGAGCCAACAGGGCATAGGATGTGGCCTCCACATTGTAGAGCCTTTGGCCAGGCTCCTCCCAGCGGTTCTTATCTACAAGAGAGAACACCAGCCCCCATGCTCACTGCTCTGTCCAGCCTGGAGGTAGTTCAGAGAAAGCTCAGAAGAAAGACTTGTACTAGACCTCGGTGTTCAGGTGTCCTGGCCCACATTTGTGGCTTTCAGTCTACTGGTTCCTGCCTTGCCCTCTTCCCTCATCAACCTTTACTCTTCTGTGTTTTTTTGTTTGTTTGTTTGTTTAAAAAATATATTTTATTGACTTTTTACAGAGAGGAAGGGAGAGGGATAGAGAGCTAGAAACATCAATGAGAGAGAAACACTGATCAGCTGCCTCCCGCACACCCCCCACTGGGGATGTGCCCGCAACCAAGGCACATGCCCTTGACCAGAATCAAACCTGGGACCCTTCAGTCCGCAGGCCGACGCTCTATCCACTGAGTCAAACTGGTCAGGGCTCTGTTTAAATTCTGAACTGCAGCCCCTCTGATCTATGGGAGCAGATTCCCTAAGTTTGCCATGCTCATTCTCACCTCTGAGCCTTTGCATATTCTGTTTTCCAATTTTGGAGCACTTTTTCTCCACCGACCCCTGGTCAATTCCTATCCACCCTGCACAATTTGGCATCAATGGCACCCAAGACAGAGTGAGACCTTTCCTTCTGTCTCTTAAAGCATCCTGTGCTTCTCCTGTCCCAGCACAATGATGCTCTAGAGCAGTGATGGCAAACCTATGACACGCATGTCAGAGGTGATACACAAACTCATTTTTTGGGTTGATTTTTCTTTGTTAAATGGCATTTAAATATATAAAATAAATATCAAAAATATAAGTCTTTGTTTTGCTATGGTTTCAAATATCAAAAAATTTCTATATGTGACATGGCACCAGAGTTAACTTAGGGTTTTTAAAAATGCTGACACACCCACCTCAAAAGTTTCGCCATAACTACTCTAGAGGAATCTATTAACTCATTTGTTTCCTCAACTGGAACATGAGGCCATGATGGCAGGGGCTGTGCCATATTCACTGTGATGTCCCAAGTGCCTAAGAAAGTACTCATGACAGAGACTGTCACCAAGAACCATTCCCTCCTCCTCCTGGGCACAGAGTTAGACTACATCTCCTAGAGGCCTTTGCAGGTGGGTATGGCCACATATCTGAGCTCTGTCTAATGGAAAGTGCAAAACAATTGACGGGGCCCCTTCCATGGCTGGTCTACCTCCCTTGCAGTCTTTCTGACTGTTTCCTTCTGCTTTAATAGAAGGGATTCTGAGGCCCGGAGGTGGCAGAGCCATGAGAAGATAGAGCCTGGATCCCTGCATCACTGCATAGAGGAGAGCTGTCCACCAACTTGGGACACCCACAATAATACTAAAGGCAATGACAACATCAGTGATAGATCTCTTACTATGTGCTAGACCTTCTCTTACTCTCATCACTCATTTAATCTTCACACCAATCTTGTGATGTCGATATCGTTTTATACACAATGTCCATAGAGGTTAAGTGGATTGTACAAGATCACACTGTGAGAATGTGGCTGAGGGTGATTTGATTTTGAACTTGAATCTGTCTGATGTCAGAGCCCATGTCCTTGCTCCCGTGTCATAGCAAGTACTCAACAAATACTTGTTGAATCATGCAATGGACCTTTTGTGTCATGCTTACAATGAGGACTTTTCACACCCATACCCACTCATCCCAGGTCAGATTGGAGCCACACAGCCCAGCTTAAGATGGCCACCCTCACCCCAGCACTGTATATCTCCTTACCCCGCCAGGCTGCCTCTCA